GCATGTGGGAATGTACTAAGTCCATGTTATGACGCTGGAAATTATCATAACCACGAAGACAGAGGATTCCGGACCAGGTACTTTTATCTAGATCACCCTGAAAATACAATCAAGTTGTGAAAATGAGTATTTTATATACGTGGACAATATTGAATATAAACGTAGGCAGCCTAGAGTTTCTTCATTAAAATCGTCAAAATATCCTATTTTAGGTGATATCAACTGTTTATAAATGGATTAAAAACGAGCAAGAAACACGAATCTGACTCGACTTTTAATTTTGAATCAAAACTTAGCTGGACTGGTTTCTTCAATTGGTATCGGCGGCAATCGAACAATGCTTGCTCTGAAGTGGGAATTAATGGATTCTGCAAAGAGGTCGTACGACCCCGTTGCATTAGTTATGAGCCTCCTTCTGTAACAATTGTACTCCATTTAGTGAGCTAGATGAAAACAACTATTTAGTTGATTCATACAGCTTAATTATGCTCTAGAGGCATGAATTGATTGGAAGATTTGCTAAAAAACTGGGTTTTAAAGAATTCCTCAATGATATATTGTGACATGAATTTGCATTTGGAAAGAAAAGTTAGTTAGAAGAAATTCATGATGTGGTCTTACCAGAAACCGAAGGAGGATCGCCCCTTCACATTGAAATGAAATGCACTCCAACAGCAGACATTTTATGCAATTTTTGGCTCTCTTAAGGTCTTCTGGCCCAAGGTAACCTGCGTATTCTGTGTTTTTTGTTGTTGAAAAAATATATTGTAGGTGAACAATCAGCAGATTGAAGAGACTGTAGCTCTGGTGCGTGGCAAGTTGTCCAAGCAGAACCGCACCACTTTACAAGCGCTGATTGTGCTGGACGTGCATGCTCGAGATGTGTTGGCTGAGTTGATCACGGAAAAGGTGAACAGCGAGACGGACTTCTCGTGGCTCAGTCAGATGCGCTACTACTGGGAAGAGGGTCAAATGGTGACTCGAATGATAAACTCTCAACTAAAGTAGGTCTCATTTTCGTATTGAATCAGCTTATAAACTGATATCACCCCTTGAATACTGGCCTTATTCACCATATTTTGTTTAAGGTGATGAAGGACTGCTAGCTGAATCTCGCTAAAATCATATGAACTCATTGTATGTCTTCATTCAATTTCACATAGCCTTGCTTTCCAAAAGCTTTTCTCATATCGGCTGGAATGGGCTGCAGTTTTGGGTCTCATCAGCGCCTACAACAGGACTCGAACCAGGGAT